CATTTGCAATTAATTAATGTGTTAAAGATTTGTGATGCTTTTCCTAAAATAACCGAACAATTAATTTACTATAAATAATCCTTTTCATTAACTAGGAAAAATGGACCGTGACCAAATTGGAGTATTGAAAAGGGTACTATATTATTTATATATATAATATAAGTGAATTTATAAATAAGGTGGATTATTAAAAAAAATACATATTTTGACATATAATAATTTATGAATAAATTAACGTGTGTATATGGGTGTCATTAAATAAATTTAGTATTAATATAGCAATATAAAATGTAAAATATCTGAGGAGAAGTACTATTTTTAAGTTATAAACAAGGCAACATTGAAATAATCAAGATATTGGGTTGGCATCATTGTGGTCTTGGCGTCACTGACGGGCTACTTCCAGCCCAGTTCGTGTTCCGCAATATGTCATCAGATGATCCAATTCCAAATAACACTGCACTCCTCACAACTGGTCTATTTTGGGCCCAAAAAAATTGTTTTCAGAAAAAATAATTGAGTATTCAAGAGAAGAGTCATTAAAAAATAAAATCAATGGTTTTTTTTTAACCTGAAAAAAATCAATGGTGTTTGAGGAGAGGGAATAGAACATGATATTCCTTGATTAAGGTTATGGATTATGAATGAAAAATATAATGTTGGGAGAGTCATCCCTATTTAAACCAACATTGTCGAATTATAACCTAACAATACTACCAATAAGAGTTGATACAGCTGGTAAGGATTCATTTTATAATCCACAAGATCATGAATTCAAATCCTGCTACTGATTTGAGGACTTTATTGGTGCGCAATTTTACATACTTCTGTAAGTACTCTTTGAATGTGAAGGTATGCTATAGCTCTAGTAAGTTCTTAATACCCAACTCACTTAAACGTGTATGTAACAAAAAAAACACCTAACAATACTACAATTTTCAATTCTTAATATAAGAGTTAGTTAACGATTAAACTTTATCTTAGATATAAAATTTCAATCTATGTTGTCATCCGAGTTTGTATTGCATATGTTAAGGGGGTATTCATACAAGAGTAGTCATGATTAAAAAAGGATGTTTATAGGAAAAATGAACTCATATGTATTATAAATAACTAACTTAATTAATTTTCTTGATTTACTCAAAAAAGTTTTTAAAAATTTCATATTATTTTATCTAATGTAAAAGTAGAGTGCATGAAGATAATTTTGCCTCGAAGCACTGTCAAATTAATAGCTTTGTCTTTGAAAATTCCACCCAATAGTACCATGCATCACATTTCACAAGGAATTTTCAAAGGAAGAAAATGTATCATGTTCATGCACGGCGTTGAAGAGAAAAAAAGATGGTATTGGGCTCCACTTCCTTGATCTTCTCTGTACCACGTCTACAAACATCAAATCACTCTATGATTCTACTGCTACTGATTTCAAACTTGATTGCACTTTGCATTACAAGCAAAATAGTCAATTTTTTTTGCAGGGCTTAAGTCATCATAATGTTTTATTGTCAACACCTAATTCTTTTTTAACTAAACCTAGAGGAGCCCGACAATCAAATTATGAAGTATGGTTTCTCGTATTGCAAGCACATTTTGCATCAGGAACTTAATAATAAAAAAAACCAATAAGGATTGAATAAAAGAGAAAAAAACAATAGGGACCTGATTTAACACTTGATCATAAGAACTGTCAGATAATTTCTCTAAAATATATGTGGAATCCAGGAGAGGATCACTGGGTCTCAGGATAACATGGAGGGGAGCTAGCTTGGGTACAGGCATAATGGGGGACATCTCTCCCACGCTGCCTCATCTCCTATCCTAATCTTTTTACTTGGTTTGAATAAAATTGTTTTTTATATAAAAATACATATTTTTAAAAAAATCACATTTTCCTCTATTAGTATTGACTAGAAATAAAAGGAGAAAATTATAACAAAAAGTCAATATAAGAAAAAATGATAAAAAAACTAAAAATTACTAAATGTCAAGTAAGGAATGTCGACAAAAATTTATTTTTATTTGTAAATTTATTATTGTCAACACTAAATAAAGTATTGTTACCAAATCTGATTTGAGATTTAGTGATTTTTATTTTATTTTTGTCATTTTCCCTTAGTATAATGTCCTATGAAAAGGATGGTAATAGAGGGAATAATAACTAATTAGAGGTTTAATTGTGGTTGGCGCTCTGGGGACAATCAGAGCCAAAAATCTGTGTCACAGTGATCTCCCAATGCCTTCATTATTAGGGCACACTAGTGCTTAGTGGGTAGGTGTCTTTATTCTACATATGACCTTTGTCTTAAATATGACACCTACTACATTCAGTCAAAATAACGAGAAATTCACCCTCTTATCTTAAGGATTAAAATTAATTTTAATTGGTTTTTCAGAATAGTATTTTCTTCCATCCAAAATATAAGATTTTTTTTAAATCTAATTTTTTCTAAACTTTAAAAATTTAAATCAATTATTTGCAATTAATTAATATGTCAAAAATTTAAATCACTTCTCATAACTGGTCTATTCTGGGGCAAAAGAAATAAAAATAAAAATTCTTTTCAGAAAAAAATAATTGATTATTCAAGAGAAGAGTTTAAAAAAAAAAAATCAACGGTGTTTCAACTTTCAAGAGAGGGGATGGAACATGATACTGTTTAAGTAAGGTTATGGATTATGAATGAAAAATATAATGCTGGGAGAGTCATCCCTATTTAAACAAAAACCGTTGAATTATAACTTCACAACGCTACCAATAAAAGTCGGTGTAGTTTGAAAGGACTCAGTTTATATAAGGTCATGAGTTTAAATCTGATGCCAATTTAAGGACTTTACTGGTAGGCGATTTTAAGTATTTCTGTAAGCACTTTGAGTCTAGAGTTATGCCATAACTTTACTGAGCTCTCAGAACCCAACTCACTTAAACTTGTATGTAACAGAAAAACATTTAACAATACTACAATCTCTAATTCTTAATAAAAGAGATAGTCAGGGATTGAACTTGATCCTATAAGAGATCTAATATACTTTTGCTCCCCAAATTTGTATTACACATGTTCAGGAGTATTCATCTAAGAGTAGTTATGATTAAAAAGGGTGTTTATAAGGAAAATCAACTCATATATGTTATAAATAATTAATTTAATTAATTTTTTTTGTCTACACAGATAAGTTTTTATATTAAGGACATGTCACAACAACAACCGTGGGTAGAAAGATTTCATATTATCATATCTAATGTAAAAGTAGAGTGCATGAAGATAATTTTGCCTTGAGGCACTGTCAAATTAATAGCTTTGAAAATTCCACCTAATATTATCATGCATGACATTTCACAGGGAGTCACTCTGAAGCTGCTTCAAAGAAAGAAAATGTGTCATGTTCATGCACAACTCTGAAGAGAAAAAAGATGGGAATGGGCTCCACTTCCTTTCTAATCAATAATGATCTTCTCTGTACCATGTCTACAAACATCAAATCACACTACGATCCTACTGCTACTGATTTCAAACTTGATTACACTTTGCATTACAAGCAAAATAGTCAATTTTTTTAGGGTGCTTGGGTCATCATAATGTTTTATTGTCAACACCTAATATATATTTTTTTAAACTAAACACGGAGGAGCCCGACAATCAAATTATGAAGTATGGTTTCTCTTATTGCAAACACATTTTTCATCAAGAACCATAAACTTACTTGTGTTCTTGAAAAAAAATGAAAGAGGAAACAAAAACCTGGGTGAATTATCAGTTTTAATGGTAGATTGAACAAGAAAAAAAATAGTCACAGATAGGTAGAGATGGAAAAGTGGGCTTACAGTACGGATACGATCCAGCCCGCGGTGGTGCGGGCTTAAAGCAGTGCGTGCTGGCAGAGCCCGCTTTAATATTTTTTTTAATAAGAAATATTATTATTGTATGGATTGAGCTTAGTTTGAAATGTTAAAATTGGGCTTAAAATCTTGAATTTAGGTAGTTGGTTATAGTGAAATAATATGAAGATATTTTTAAAAAAATAACACATATTTTTTTATACATAATTAATTTAACTAGTTGTCTTATCCAAATTAATTAAGTAGATATTTTATGTATATATAAGTACCACATGTTTATTTAATCTTATAAAGGCTTGTATAGTAACGCAACAAATCAATGAAAAATAAAAGATGAACGATATTATTTATATAACTACACACACAGTTACAAATATATAAAGTGCTTAATTAATTACATATGCAATTATATGGATAAGACAATGTTCAATTATTCATGTAGAATTTGAGGATCAAAATATTTTAATTATATTGTATAATACAATTGGGAATTACATGAAAATTAAAAAAAAAAAAAAGTAGGCCATCCTGTGGGCTAGCCTGTAGCGGTGCGGGCTCAAAGCGGTACAGGCTAGAGTAGCCCGCACTTTGGCAGGTTGTCATCCAGCCTTTTTTGGCAGCCTGGCGAGCGAGGCCATTAAAATTTAATGTATTACCGGCTCTATAAACAGAGACCGAGAATTTAGCACCACCAATATTATGATCTGATGACTTAGCTGCCAATAACTGTTCTGCACAGTCTTGACCATAAGGCCATAAAGACTTGGAAGATACGTCAAAAACTTCAAGCGGCTTTTAGGAAAGTTTAAATGAAATCAATGACCTTAAGTTAGTAAAGTTAATAGTAAATGACTGCAAACACTTCACACTTTTTTTTAACCCTTTTTCATTCTAACATCACCAAATCACACATGGGATTCTACTGCTACTTATGTACAAGTTAACCAGACTTTGCAAGGGAAGCAAACTGGTCAGTTCATATTATGAAAAATCCCATGTTTTAAGTGCTATTGTCAAGACCTAACTTTGACTTAGCCAAGTTAGTAACAGAACAAGAATCAAACTATGGCGTCTATATCTCAACTCACTCTCTGCATTTGGAGACACTGAAGCTTTCTATATTTGTACCAAAACATCACAGTAACGTGAAGGATAGAATTCTATGAGCATCCTTTCTTTCATATGCATCTTTACTTACATACTAAGCCCTTCTCTAAGAGTTTCCCTCGCGGCTGATTCCATTGCTGCATCTCAAAGCATCCCGGATGGCATGACCTTGGTTTCCCAAGGAGGAACCTTTGAACTGGGATTCTTCAGTCCTGGAAGCTTTAGCAAACGTTATTTGGGAATGTGGTACAAGAAGATCCCAGTTAGAACCATTGTGTGGGTGGCAAACCGCCAAACCTCAATCAATGGAACGTCCGGCATCTTAATGTTAAACAGTACAGGCAGTCTAGTCCTCAGCCAAAATGGCACCGTCGTTTGGTGTGCAACCCCTCAAAGACAAGCAAGAAAACCAGTGGCTCAGCTTCTTGATTCTGGCAATCTTGTGGTGAAAGATGAGGAAGATGCAAACCCAGAAGCCTATTTGTGGCAAAGCTTTGATTACCCATCTGATACAATGTTGCCAGGTATGAAGATAGGGTGGGACCTCAAAAATGGTCTGAATAGGCGTCTAACAGCATGGAAGAGCCCAGAAGATCCAGCTTCAGGAGATTTTTCTTGGGGCATAGAGATCTATAACTATCCTGAATCAGTTATGAACAAGGGACAAAAGAAGTATTACAGACCAGGACCTTGGAATGGCTTGTATCAAAGTGGTACACCAGAACTAAAGCCTAACTCTTTGTTTGATTACAACTTTGTCTTTGATCAGAATGAGGCCTACTACACTTATACTCTCAGAACTAACTCTTTAGTTTCAATATTAGTTATGAACCAAACCAGTTATGTTCGTTATCGTTATGTCTGGGTGGAAACAGATCAAAAGTGGAGGATTTATGCATCACGTCCAGGGGATTACTGTGACACCTATGGCCTATGTGGAGCCAATGGGCATTGTATCATTACTGATTCTCCAGTCTGTCAATGTTTAAAAGGGTTCAGGCCTAAGTCACCAGAAATGTGGAACTCAATGGACTGGTCTCAAGGCTGTGTTCACAAAAAACCATTAAGCTGCAAATTCAAGCAAAAGGATGGGTTTCTAAAAGTGAGTGGCTTGAAACTTCCAGATACTACCCACACTTGGTTAAATCAGACTATTGGCTTAGAAGAATGCAGAACTAAGTGCTTAAATAACTGTTCTTGCATGGCATTTGCAAATTCAGATATTAGAGGGAAAGGAAGGGGATGTGCCTTATGGTTTGGAGATCTAATTGATATTAGACATATGGCAGATGGTGGGCAGGATCTATATATTCGAATGAATTCTTCAGAATTAGGTAAGCAGTACAACAAGTATTTATTTTCTTTTTGAAACATTCAATACCTTCACTGTGTATTAATCTCATCTTTTTGTTTGATTCAATTAGCTGAAGACGCAGAGCAAGGGCATAAGAAGTTAACAAAGAAAACTATTGCCATCATTGCCATTGCAACTTCGGTGATGCTTTTACTTGGGTGCAGTTGCATCCTCAGAGTCTACAAAAACTATAATGGTAAAGGGATCACCACAAAGTTTTTGGAAAATGTTTAGTTTCATGTCTTTATGCTTTTGTAATCAGATTCTTCTGCTCGAGTATTACATGTAAATATTTTTATGTCAGTACAAAACCATTGCTTCTTCAAAAGTAATTTCCCCCATCTGAATCGTACCCAAGCATGTGATAGTAAAAACCCAAGGAATTATGTACTTTCCCCCCGTTGTTTTATGTTTCTTTACAGAAATTTGACTATTATGAAGTAACTCCCCTGCATACCAATATATATGTGTTTGAAATCTATCTTTGTACACAATATGGTTCGGCTTTTTTTTTTTTTGGTAATGTGTATATTTTGACCATGACAATAAGTATTACTTAACTACTTATGCTTGAAACCAAGCTAAAAGCTTTTTCTATTTTGTCAGACAAAGTTAAAAGTGTAGATCAAGATCAGAACAATGGAAAACACTCTGAAGATTTGGATCTTCCATTTCTTGACTTATCAACTATTGTCATTGCCACTGGTAACTTCTCCATTAACAACAAAATAGGAGAAGGTGGTTTTGGACCTGTGTATTGGGTAAAATTTAGTGTTTCACTATAAGAATTGTAAAAATGAAGTCGTATTAATACTGAAAAGATGATCTTAGCATATTACAAATTTGGATGTGCAGGGAAAATTGGTAAATGGGCAAGAAATTGCTGTGAAGAGGCTTTCAAAAAGTTCAGGACAAGGAATAACTGAATTTAAGAATGAAGTAAAACTGGTTGCAGAACTCCAACACCGGAATCTTGTAAAGCTTCTAGGATGTTGCATTCAGGGAGAGGAAAATATGCTAGTTTATGAATACATGTCTAATAGCAGCCTAGACTCCTTCATTTTTGGTACGGAATTGTTATACTAAGAACAAATGGTTCTGGATATGGTACTTTAATGATTTTGGTGCACTTAAAAGCTTAGGATCCTTGAAGTTTGAAAAACTTGCAAACTTAGATAATTCATTCATGCCAAATGAAACAGATGATACGAAAGGTGTGGTTCTAGATTGGTCTAAACGCTACCACATTATTTGTGGCATTGCTCGAGGACTTTTATATCTTCATCAAGATTCCAGACTGAGAATCATTCATAGGGATCTCAAGGCAAGTAACGTGTTACTTGATGACACGCTGAACCCAAAGATATCTGATTTTGGATTGGCAAGAACTTGTGGAGGAGACCAGATTGAAGGAAGCACAAACAGAGTAGTAGGGACTTAGTAAGTGTCTTACTTGCAATTAAGCTCCATATTCTTCATTACGGTATCCTTGTTCACAGTATTTTGTTTCCCTTGTGTCTTACAGTGGCTACATGGCACCTGAATATGCCATTGATGGGGTATTTTCAATAAAATCCGATGTCTTCAGCTTTGGCATTTTGCTACTGGAGATCATATCTGGCAAGAGAAATAGAGGGTTTTATGATGCAAACCACAGCCAAAACCTTATTGGTCAAGTAATAACTTGAGATACGCTTGGTTATACTTGTCTTATATATTTTTAGCCATATTAAATCTGACACTAGTTTGCCCGTGTTCTAGGCATGGAGAAAATGGAAAGAAGGTAAGGCTTTGGAACTGATTGACAAGAACGTTGAAAACTCATGCATTGCATCAGAAGTCCTACGTTGTATCCACATCAGCCTATTATGTGTTGGCGAACATCCAGAGGATAGGCCTAGCATGTCCTCAGTGGTTCTAATGCTGGGAAGTGAAATGGATTTGCCTAATCCTAGGCAACCAGGTTTCTATTTGAACAAGTTCTCAGTGGAATCAAATTCTTCCCAACCAGAATTTGGTACATCGAATGAGATGACAATTACTCAATTAATAGCCCGATGAAAATCAAAGTATTCAAGATTCACATGTATATCATTGAACCATTCCTAGTATTTTGTAATTATTCCAGAACAACCAATGCATCACACAGGTATATGTCTAGTTAAAGACGCAACGTGCGAAGCCATGCAATTCTAATACATTAACAGTACACAAGTACCTTGCATGGTAAGAATTTCCTATGTAGGTATATATTACTTTGTTTTGATCAGCAAGTATTATATGGAAGACAATTGATGTCTGGATTTGTTGGTACGAGAGGTTAAACTGAACTTATCTGAAATGAAGTTCATGATATGTGAAAAGTTGACAATATTATATGACTAGCTTCATAGCCAGCTTATGACTTTAGTACTCATTGATTAGACTGCATCATCATCAAAATTTGCAAACTTGGGCAATCTTAGGCCTGTCAATTTTTTTTTTTTTTCCCAGGGAAGCAAACGTTTCTTCTTCTTCTTCTTCTTTTTTTTTTTTAAAAAAACTTGTACGTAAATATCAGAGACTCGAACATGCTGTGGTGACCCTCGGAATTTCATGGTTTTAGGAATTATGGCATGAATCTTAAAGGGGATGATGAATTATTTGGAAGAATTCTTGAACTGATCCATGAACATTTGAAATGATTTATGAAAGATCTGGAGATGCTTTTTGTTTTTTTTGGGCATAGGTTCAGTTTTAGGAGTTCTCTCTCCTGATGTTCTCTTATTTTCCTCTCTTTTTCGCCCTATCCAAATAAACTTGTTCCCGCCAAACCAGCGTATGCATATACTCCATAGTAGTAGCTTCTAACGTCGGGCGTTGACCTTTAAATAAGACCATTAATAAATAATAATAATATTCGCCGGGGCTCTTCTTTCTTACTGCCAGAATATTTGCAGATATTAAAATAAGCCCCATGTGCAACTAATTCAAGAGCCCAGCCCACTAATTATTGATACAGACATTCTCTAATCTTTCTGTGTAAAAGGGACTTAAAATTTTAAATATTGAAGTCATAAAAATTTTCATAATAATTTCACAATTAATTTTTTACCTGACATGTATGTAAAAAAACGTTTAAAATCAATTCATGTTTTATGAATTTTTTTAAAAGAATAGAGAAGATACAACAACAAAAATATAAAATAATACATAGTGGGCTAGTTGGGCTTGACAGCACCCAAGCCCAGTGCCCATCTCGATTCTTTCTGCCAATTTTCTTTATTTAGCCCAGCCCAGCACGGTGAGAATTATCTTCCTGTAAATCCATATCCATGGCGGAGTGTTGCCGTTGAATGGCCGTCGGAGTGTTGCCATTGAAGGAGGAGGAAGGACGACGGACCGGCGACGGAGGATGAAGAAGGTTGCTAGGGACAAAATGAGGGTGAGAATATTTTCTAATGGAAAATCATGTTTTCCATAAGTTTAGGTTAGGAAATAAATTTCCATAGTTTTGGTTAAAAGAAAAGGTTCTCAAGAAATTATTTTCATGCCAACCAAACAATTGGAAATGGAGTTTCCATTTCCATTTCCATGGAAAATGTTGATTTTCCTAGTGAACCAAACTAGAGTTAAGGGTATATTACTGGGAAAAAAAATTGGCATCTACTTCCATATGTAAAATTTCTAATTAAATTAACATATTTTTCATGATATTGAAAAAAAAAAAAGTACTAGTATTTGTTTTCTTATAAATAGAAATCGAGAAAGAAGTATTGCTTGCTACCTTTTATGAGCTACAAAGTTAATTTCTACTCATTATGTGATTGTTAAGCGGCTAATACGTAAATGATTTTTGAAGTGTTTATTAAGTTATAATACCTACTCCTATCTAGATACATTGAAAAACATCACATTAGTTTAAGGGACTTAACTATGTTATAATTGCGTGGTCAAAACACAAAGTGACGTCTGATAAATATAATAATATGAGCTCAATCATTTTTATATATATATATATATATATTAGATTTTGGCAATTTATGAGGTGAATGATTAGGCTATAAACTATGTATCAACCTAATCAATCAGAAGAAATGGAAGTTTTTAGAACGTAAGATTATATATATTATGCCATGTAAGCTTGTGGAAAATCTTTAACAAAAAACTTGTCGTTAGCACAAAAATAATAATCGAATAATATTGCAGGTCAAGTTCCAACTAATTCCCCTTCTTCAATTCCAATATAATTCATATTTTTCATACAACAATCTTCTTTTTTTGAGACAAAAATTGCTTAGGTGAGTTATATTCCATAAGTTTATTGACATCAGAACATAGCTCCAGATTTAGAAAATGTTCATAGAGATACTTACATATTATCTACCAACAAAATTTTTATATTGATAATGGGATTGAAACTTATAACATTATAGGTTATAAGCCAAGTTCTTACTAATTCAATCCGACTCTGTAGGCTAGGAGAACAATCTTTTTTTCTTTTTGTCCCTAAGCATAGGCATCCTTCTATTAGAGACAGTCCTATTCAAGTTACTGTCAAGTACTAAATGTAGGTATTTCTCCTAAAAAAATTAAATATTGATTTATCATGTTACGAGGAACTAGTTTCTTTTTACTGGATTCAACTCTAATTGGTGCAAGAACAATCTTTGAATCACACAACAAAATCTATGTTGTAAGATTCGTCGGTTGGCTCACGTAGGGGTGTGGGTGCAGCCCACCAAATTGGTGATGTGGCCAACTCACCAAACTGTGGGCTGCCCCTTTTTTTTGTTCTGTTTTTGTAAACAATTTTTATTTCTATTTCATGTTTACTTTCTTTCTTTCTTTTTTTTAATTGATAGAGTGACCAAGGAGGATTGGGTCTAGCAGCTAACCTCTCATAACATGATAAACTAAGATTTGAATCCCTGCTGGGAGAAGTACCTATATTTAGTGCCCGACAGTGTCTAGAAAATATAATTGCCTCCAATAGGAGGATACATATGCTTTAGCAAAAAAAAAAGTGATAGAGTGAATATCCAAAATAAATTATATATCTATATTCGTAATTTTTTAGGCTATTTTTATGATATAGTTTTCATGAAAGTATAAAAATAATTTGAATTTAGTTCAACAAAATTTGTAATTTATATTCGGCAAAATGCTAATTTGTTTTGAGACGAAAATTTAAACTCCGATTGCTTGACCCATTGTGTATATGAAACTATGTCATTTTATACCACTCATTATCAATTTTATGCTTTGAACCAGCATTCATACTCATACAATATATCAATATATATCATAAAATTCTCATAAAGGGGAAGCATATGAAAGAGCAAGTAAATTGGCCTATCATAATTAGAATAATTTCTTTAAAATAGATATATGAGCTTATGACTTGCAAATGATGCACCATGCTATGCACTTGAATAATGGATAGCTAAATATTATAAAATGAGGAGATTCTAATTGATTATGATTAAGACGGATTTTAATTTACTCATATTTTCAGGACTAAGTAAGAACTTTTTTATTAAAAAAGGTTAACTTATGTAATTCTACTTCTACGAGTGTGAACCCACTAACAAATTATAATTACTAATAAAATAAACTTTTACAAAATTAAGATAAACAAATAAAGGACGTTATCTAAGACAAATCATATACATCATGATCTCATCATTATTCGTAAGTTATTAACTTTCCACAAAAATCACACAATAATAACTGATTCTTTAAGGGTTTTTTTTTTTTTTGCAGTAAAAGGTGTGGGAAAATACGAGGCTACTAGAGAATGAAGAATGATGCTCTTGTTTCTTAAAATTTCATGTGGTTTAGCACAAACCAATGATGAACCCAGGCCAGAGATCAAATTAAAGTCCTGAATAGTTGTTAATGAACACTAATAACATAATTATAACTAATAAAGCATGTGTAAAAGATGGTTCCGGTTGGTGCTTGACAATCGATCGAAAGGCTTATAATTTATATGTGTGTCTGTCTCATTTGACCAAACATTGTTCACAAAATTTAATTCAGATTGCTTCATCTTAAGCATGAAATTAAAGTATCCTTCAATTATTTGATATATTTCTTTCTGTCTTGTCCTCTTTGAAGACGTAACTGCTAGCGTGAAGGAGAGGTTTATTTTTTTGGCATTTTTCAGTCATCTTGAAGACTTAATGACAGCGAAATTTATTATTTATTATCTGAGGGATTGATGTAAACTTATCAACAGGAAGCTCATAAAAATCAAATTTTTTGAACCGAATATGTCAATATAATAATCCTACTACGCACAGATCAGAGTGGTTGAACTCTGCAGAAAAAAACATGTTTTTAACAGTAAACAGAAATTGAAGAAGAAGACTTTTTTCTTTGGGGGGGGGGGACGTCAGATTGAAACTTGAAAGCAGAAATCTTTGTCACTCACTGATTGCTTCATTTTAATAAACACATGCTGTTATATATACATATATATATTTATATTCATATTCTTATATATTCTCTGTACTAATTTGACTGATGAAGAGCTTTGAAAGCACATATTAATTAATTAACATGCCCATTTTCTTGACCATTATTTCAGATAAAAGAGAAGTTGTTTACTTTTTTCATATGTGGATGGATCGACCTGTGTGTGTGTGTGTGTGTTAGATTTAAAATAAGTTGTATTTTTTATGACCAGCGAATTGTGTGATTTCTTATACTTCTATATTTTATAGAAAGTCAGGTTCTATATACTATATTATCTCGAGACGTATATTTCTGCCTATGCGACGTAATTAACTTGTGGACAGTGTGACTGCTTCATGTAAATTTATTAGATATATAAATATTTATATGGATTGATGCACAAGATCACTGATAAATTTTCATCATTCCTTTATTATTATTTTTACTATTTACTTTTATCACTGATAAATTTGTTAGAATAATTCTACTTAATTAGCAAATACTAGTATTTATTACCAGAAAGATCATGATCTGTTTGGTTCAATATAATATAATCCAAAGAGAAAAAATAACTAAAGGCACCTTTTGACCGAAGCAACCCAATTCATCCAATTAACTCGATCAATCCGACTTTTTTCTGCTTAGAATGACAATGGAAATTGACTTTTTTAATTTCAGGAATGTCAAAAAGTCTACTAGCTAGAGATTTGAATAATATATTATGTTGTGTGAAGCTAGCTATATTATCAAATTTTCCTGTGTGAAGTAAGACTTATTAATTAATATATTATGTTGCTTGGATAATATATTAATCCCCTAAAAGAAATAAATAAGTTGCAGATAAGTTTAAAGACTCTTTCACAAGAAACAAAGGTCGATGAACTTACTAGTTTGCACAAA